GTGTGCTGATGTAAAAGGACAATTCAAAATAACAAGGAACTGTCACCCTTGAAATCTCATTTTTGCCTCACTAGAAGCAGAACTTCAAAGTTAACATTTTCTCTTTTCTTTTTCTTCCTTTTGCTTTAATGCCTCTTGAGCACCTTGAACACTGCTTGGACCTTAAGTGGCTGCTACATCATTCACGTACCAAAAGAATAAATGAACAGATAAAATGCATCTACTTTCTATTCTCCTTACTTAATAAAGACACGTGTATTGAGCTTTTTCTCATTTATGAATCAAATTTGTTTAGCCTACTAAAAACTTCAAGATGATGATTCCATTATCTTACCCTAAAGCTGCATCTCCCTTTTTATCATTTCTCTCTCCTTTGCCCTCAAAAATAAATAAACCCCATGAATGTACCTTCAACGCCCTAGAACAGCTTGAAGTCACCAATGTGGCGCCATCTCTCTGGTCTTCTATCACCTAACTTCTTATCCTGGTCTGCTCCAGTCCATGTAGAGTGACATCACAACACAGCATTTGTTATTCACATTTTAACATCTTCAAAATTAATTTTCAGGACCCAATGAGTAATTGATGAGTTGTATGAGTAGCACAGATTATAACTGGTTTGTGTTTGGTCTTTTTTTTATCCTCATCCTGATTGGGGTTTAACTGACAATAAAAATTTACTTATTTTTTCATGTACCACTTAATGTTTTGATACACACGAAGTAATTACAAAGCCAGAGAACATACTTATTACTCACGTGGTCACCTGTTGTTCCTTTTTCTGTGACTATCTCTCATTCCCTCACTGTGGTAGTCCCTAGAAGCAGCATTTTATTCTTTGCTTCTAAGAGCTTCATTATTTTATATAAGCAAAGTCATGCAGTGTTTTACTGTATCTGTATTATTTCATTTAGCATGAAATCCTCAAGGTACACCTACATGGTGACAAATCTCAGGACCCATCCCTCTTCTCACTGAGATATATACCTATATACAGTGTTTCACTCATCCATCATTGAATATTAGGTTATTTCTATCATGTGGCTACATGAATAATTCTGCCTGGAATACGGTAGTGCAGACATCTCTTTGGCATCCTGATTTTATTTGGATATATGCCCAGAAATGGAACTGTTAGATAACGTAGGTTCTATTTTTAACGTTGAGCTATTTTCATGCTGCTTTCCATAATGTCTTTATCCAATTATATTGTTAAATGGGGTGCAAGTACGCAAGCATATTCCATCCATTTACAAATGAAGTTCTTTTTTTTTTTCTATTGATTTGCAAGTGTTAACTGTATGTTGTTGTTGCTTTTAACTGTATGTTTTAAATGTGAAATCATGTAGGTGAGTCAGTAGTGATGACCAAGTACACAACGCAGCCACCCTGTTTTGGGGGGTGGTTGTGGGGCAAGACGTCCAGGAGTCACTCTAAAGGACAGTCTGTGTCCAGCGTGACTGGGACTTTTACTGGGGGAAAGGAGTATCGTGATGGGCTTACGTGGGGGCTAAGCATGGCTGTGTATGGGGCTCAGCAACGGGCACTGTGAGCTGGCAAGTGGGTGGATGAGGGGTGTCTCAGTAGAATGGGCATTGTGCCTAGGCTCAGGCCGGGGACTGCAGGACGCAGGAAAACGCTATGATTGTCTCTTTGGCTCTGAAACTCAAGACAGTAGGGGACAATGAATGGACATCAGAGCTAAGAATCCCCAGTTTGAATAGCTAAAATCCTAAATGCTCTAGAATCCAAAGCCTTCAGGAAAATATTCCATTATCAAAAATTTGAGGTAGTTCTGATTCCAAGCATTTTGGATAAAGGATGCTCAAGCTGTAGTTTTTTCTCCTCTTATATGAATTGCCTCTTCACTCTGTACATTAATTCTTTGGCTGTGTGCAAGCTTTTTACTTTGATATACTCCTGTGTAATGTGACTTGGGGGGTCATAAAAAAAAGAGGAACATCAAGATTTGTCTGTTTTATTCTAAAAGCTTTATGGCATCAGGTGAGGTACTTAAAAGTCTTTTGCTTATTTTGAACTGATTTTCATACATGACCTAAAAAACTGGTTCTATTTTAATTTTGCTCATGTAGATGTCCAGGTTTCTTAGCTCCATTTAGCAAAGAGATGATGATGATGAAGACAACAACGACAAAGACGACAACGATGACAATGTTGGAGGCAGGGTCTCAGTACACTGCTGCTATTTTTGCCCTTCAAATAGCTGAGAGTACAGCAAGGATCCTAGTGCTCAGATGCGGAGGAGACGATGAGACTAATTCAATTAATTCAATCACTTGTTGCTATTCTGTTCAAGTGGTTTAATTTATTTTTGATGCAGAATGCGTATTTTTAGGAGTTTAGCCATTTTTCTACGTTATCAACTTTGTTGCCACAGAATTGTGCAGAGTACTCTCATTATCTTTATCTTTATGGGCAGTTGCTTCTTATGGGCAGTTGATCCTAACCTTTATCATTTATAAAGCGTATCTGAATAGAGGAACCAAGGTTGATATTCATTATTTACTGGAGTTAATTTTGAATTACTAATAATTTTGTTTCTCTTTTCTCTTCCTGTCTTGTACAGAGATGCCTCATATGTATCTATCTTATTCAAAAATAACCATAAAAGCTTACAAAACCATACCAATGATACAATGTATGACTCTATTGCTATCCTATTTAATCCACACTTCTGTAAAGTCCTATTCTCTCAATAAGCCATAGTTCCAAACTGTATTCCCCATTAATCTCCCTTTGATCCTAATGTATAAAGACAAGGATCTACTATACACAATGGCTCAAATACAAATATCCAAATCAACTTTACCTGCCTCATACCTCATAATAACACTCAACAACCACAATATCAATCTTATTGAGAACTATACAATTCTTTATAGTGAATTCAAGATTTTTTCAAGGGAAAGCTTTAATAAAATGAATTCTTAGTAAGTAGATACATTCTTGTTCATATTTGTCTACCCAGTCTCTAACCTATTATCACAACTGGTATTTAATGAATGCATTTACCCCTAGTGTAAGAACTCAAAAGAAGAAATAGAAATTGAAAGCAGTAACACAGTTAAATGCAAAGTGAGACTTTAAGGATTGAACAATTTAGAGAGTCTAAGGAGCAAAGTTATTAAATATGGCAGGGGCAAAACCATACATTCATATAAATAAGATGTTTAAGACAATGGTCCTAAGAATCTCCATCAGGTTTTTCAAAATAGCATTTAATGGGTAGAATTCTCACCTTGACTAACTCTATGTACTGATAACTGTAAACGAAGCAACTACACTGAGGATAAAAATGTGTAATACTAAAACCATGCTTGAAATACTCATCATTTTGGTCTTCTAAATGCGTACTGCTCCTACTGTCATATCAATTATTAGTATACTCTCTTTAAAGTAAATTTTCGTGAAAAAAAAGTAATCAAAAAAAAAAAAAAAAAAAAAAAAAAAAAAAAAAAAAAAAAAAAAAAAAGACAAGAAAAAAAGTCATAAGATTGTCCTGCTACAATATTGTATGTGGGAAGCCATTAACTGGTATCCATTTTATAATAGTGTCAGCCATTTTCTTAAGTTTCTATTCCCCTGCTGAGTTAAGTTTCTGCTCCTTCCCCTCTTGCCCATTCCCCGTGAATCACATGCTATGCCCCAGGGGTGGGCCCTTCCTCCGTTGCCTAGATACCTGCTGAAGTCAAGAGCCAGGACTTCCTCATTCCTACACTCCCTATATATACCCAGCACCTCTCCTGAATAAAGCAGATTTGATCAGACTCTCCTGTCTTGTCTCCATTTCTCATGTCTCTTGTCCTTTGTCCCCTCCTCCATTCCCGCTCCTCTCCCAGGTGACCTTCGTTGACTGACCCACTGGATGGGACAATTGTATATGGTCTGACTTCTAAATTTCTGTGTAATACTGAATGTATTTGTTAAGTGAATTAATTACCAGCATTACTACATATTAAAAACTAAAATAAAACACATACATACTTTAATGCTAATAATTCATTTCTAAATATATAAGATTTAAGAGCCCAATTTTGTGTCATATCTCTTTTTTCAACTACAAAATTTCTGTGGTCTTTGAACTTGTATCTGAATCTGGAGTCCAACTGTAATTCAATCTAGAACTCTCTATCATGCCAGTGAGATAGCTCAGCAAACTAAGCACCTGCCTAGGCAAGCACAGGGACAGGGTTTGATCCCTGGCACCACATGCTGCGCCAGCCACTCTCCCAGGTGTGCTGAGTGGGCCACCGAGAGGGGCATAGTGGTGCACACCTATAATGTGCTGGGGAGGCTGAAAACAGGAGGATCACTAGAAATCCAAGCTGCATAGTGAGGTCCTGTATGAAACACATTAAAAAATAAATAAATAAAATCTCTATCTGAACATATCTTTCCTCACTGGGCAGAATTTGTTGTTTGTCTCTTTTACTCATTCCATTTACATCAAGACTCCATATCCTTGTGATTTGAAGTTCTTAAAAAGTGAAAAGAGATTTGATAGAGACACAGTAACTACACTGTTAGACCACAAACCATTAACTACATGTTTTCACCAGGAAGCACTAACAGAAGAAAAATCAAATAACACACATGAGAAAGAAAATAACCTAGACTACAAAATCAAGTTTAGGATCTCTCTCTCTCTCTCTCTCTCTCTCTCTCTCTCTCTCTCTCTCTCTCTCTCACACACACACACACACACACACACAAAGTTAACATATACTGCGCAAATAAGTAACATAAAAATCAAAGTTCTGTAACAAAATATAATCAATTTTTTAGCTGTATTATACTATGTATGTCTATTCTAGCACATAATTGTGAATGTGAGCTATTGAGTGTGCAGCACAATGAACTGCATTAAACAAGCAAAATTGAATAAAACCAATACAAAACCTGTTACATGAGAATCTACTTCAATTTTTATAGCAAAAATTTGATTTGTAATACATGCAATTAAACTCCTAACTGCTAACCTTCTAGGATGATTGGCATCAAACAAAGTGTTATCATCCTCTTCATCATCTTGTTCCAAGGGTGTCAACTCCATGTTTTCTATGTTAGTGTCCAAAACTCCATACCTCCTCGTCTTTCGGTTTCTCCTTCTCATCCTATTAAACAAAACAAAGCAAGGAATTAAAAATTAGCTCAATACGGTATACATAATCCTTAGTTCATACTGTAAATTAGAAATAAATGCCTCTTGTGTTCTAACACAGGATACCCAATGCATAAATTGTTAAACTTCGGCTACTTCGTCAGTCTGCCATCAAGGACTACTTATTCATGAATCAGGTACTTCGCCATGTTTGTGCACCCTCAGTATTTCTCCTGTCTGACTCTTTCGTCTCTGTCATGTCATAGTGTTGCTGACGTAGCTCTTCAGCCTAATCTTAGGCCTCACACCTCTACTGAAGTTTTCCGTTCCAGTCTTTGTCCCAGGTCCTCCATATCTTCTCACTTCTATGATGGATTAAGTGCTTTCCACATCAGTAAGAGTAAGAAATTTGTGTTGGGGGGGCGGGGGGTAAAGGGCAAAAATCTTCATGCTTAACCCAGTCCTAAGGAAACACCAAACTTGGAAAGCAGAACCAGTTTATGTTTTGACACATTGTGAAGTTTGAGAAACATTACATTAGAGAAGTGAAGTTTTTA